ATCTGATCCGATTCTGATCTAATTCGATCGTTCTGATTGCAACGTTGATGATTCAGAAATGGCACGCGTAAGGCAGGTTCATGAACGCTTCGTTAAGTCAAATAGGAAATTTTATCACTCCACGACTGGTGACTTCCAAAATTATATTTCAACACGATAAAATTTAATACCAAAGGTTTTGTATTCAAATATTCACTATATTTTAGACACTACGATAAATCAAGTCGACGATCGACAGGGGACAGTGAGCCAGTTCTAACCCTGGAGAGAGATGCCCTCACTACGTGTAAACTCCTAAGTTATAGTCTGTGCTGACATGTGGTCAGCTATCATCAGATCAGGTAAAGTACACCATACACCACACATCAGGCGCTGCGCTCAACGTCGGGGGTGACCCTGTAGCCAAAAGCTCTGACACAGTTAACCAATATTTTCACGTATATTTTGCTATTATTCGCAGTTCGTCGACTTGCTAGTCTGTTCTCAGCTGGCTGTTCTTGAGCAAAGCGGGGTGAATTATCAATAAGGCGTCGGACGCCAGAGCACAATTTACTCTGCTATTGCTCTCCACAATGAGGATAATTCCGGCATCTGTTCCTTGCACACGAAAATTAGCATTTAATAGGAAAATTTAACACTGCACGGGGTTGGGTTTCTGCACCTCTAAAGTCAAAAGGCAGGCTACCATCGGCCGCTGCCCCATTTTTCCTGAGGTTCATCGTTCAAAGAACCAATGTCGGCCTCCGCCCTAAGATAGATATTACAAACTTTCTTGCACCATGCTTACGTGATGCTGGTACATATTGACGACGACATTAACTATGTCCATGGGATTTGTGGGAAAAAATTCTTGTCCTACACAGGTTTGCTTCAGCGGACATAGGAGGTTCAATTTCAACTCTGCTACTAATGCCTCATCAGCCTACCATTTAGAAGTTTATTACATACCTTCTAAACTGTCCTAACAAGTGATGAGAATACACTGTAGGTATCTCCACTGTTTCATGGAAACCGCTCTACTGGCCGCTGGAACTGAAGAACCGTGAATTTGTTTAAAACACTTCCTGCAGGGAGAGTTAGTTGCTATGAGGAATACAATCTCCGCCGCAGCAGCGGGAGTAGTCCATTATAAATCGATGACACTATTTCTGACTGTCAGGTATCATAAATTTGGGCTTCAGTGCTGTTTAAATTTTGCTATCTTTAGTCAGCGATGGCAGCAACAACTATACCGTAGTCGCCATTGTCTCTCGTACTATGGTCGTTGTCGTCATCTGTCATATAAACGAACTTGCATGAGCAGTGGACTCTAAACGAAAGCGTACGGCTTCACACCCTTCAGCGTCCTGAGCCAGCGCAGCTATGGCTTCAGAAACGGCTGCACCTCAAACAAAAAGTTCTG